GGAAATGCAAACTTATAACTAGAATAAGTGTCTATTCCAGTAAGGACAAAGCATTGATTGACCTTCCCATAAAGGAAGGTGGTCCAGTGTAGTCAACCTGCCTAGTAGGTCACTAGCTGGTCACCCAGGGGAATGATTCCTTATCAGAGGCTGTTAGTCTTTACTGATGGCAGATTTGACATTCACCAGCAGCTATAGCCAGGCCAGCCTTGGTGAGAGAAAACCCATATTGTTGTGCTAATGCATACATAACCTCCATCTCTTCCATGATGGCCACTTTGTTCCTGGGCCCAATAGGGTGAAAAAGGCATGCCTTTTGTGTCAGTAGGAGACTCCAGGAGCCAAGGGAGACAGAATGAGCAGACTGCTCCAAGGAGGCACTTACCGGACAGAGTAAGTAGGTAAAAAGAGATGGGTAATTAGAGCAGGTGGAGGAGAAAGCAGCTGGAGAGGAGGACTCTAAAATTTGGAGACAGCAGAAACAATTGATTCATACAAATGGTCCAGTTTAATTGACAGCTTTGTTCAATTAGGGCAGCTTAGGAAAGAAGTTCATTTGTGTCACTACTAAGTTTTGGCACCAGATGTATTCCAGGGGGCACAGTAAAGAAATTGCCAACATGACCATATGGTATTGTTAAGGTTTTTATTGTGGATATGAGAGAAGAGCCCAAAGTAGAGAAAGAAGTAGACTGAATATGGCCAAAAGACTGGACATGGCCAGGGCTATGTGTGAGAGAAGGGAGGGTAAGGGGCACCTTGCTATTATAAAGGAAACAAATGGCTACCTGGGAGGAGGGATACCTGGGGAGGTGAGAGGGGCTAGGATGCTAGTGTGGACTTTGAAATGTATAGCAGGTACTTGTGATATTGAGGAAGCCTGGAGGCCAGCTTGGGCTTTGATATGCAACTGCAGGTATATATATTTCAATGGAGCCAATATTCATTCTGCCAGAGGTAAGGAAAATGACTCCTTTTGGCAGATGGGAACCAGTTTCGCAAGTTCCTGAGGAATGCTGGCTTTTATCTAACTGCCAGAAATCCTCCTATAGTCCAGGTTGAGCTCATTTCTGGATATTTGCACGGCTTTTTTGGAGTTTAGGGGATTGGACAGGAGTGGCTGGAGAAAGAGTCTGTCTGTCCACAGATCAGTCATCCTGTCTACTTGATTACCGGTCTCCTCCTCAGCTGGTCACCTTGTGGTGAACATTTATGTGGGACACAATTATTTGGGCATGGTGGCATACACCTTTAATCCCATCACTTAGGAGACAGAGGCCAATAGATCTAAATTCAAGGTCTACAGAGTGAGTTTCAGGACATCCATGGCTGTTACTCAGAGAAACTGTCCCCGCCCCCCCAAAAAAATTCATGGGACTCAATTATCTTCATATACTTTGCCCTTTTGGAGAGATCTATCCAAATACTTCTTCCACGGATGTCTTTCTCATTGATTTTCAATCATGTTCTTTCCTCATCCCTGATCATCTAGCCCATCATGGCACATCTGGCCATTTCTCCTTCCAAGCAAAATGTATGACCACGTGTACTTCCCAGAGTTCTGCCCACTGTGAAGATTTTCCTTCGCCAGTGGCTTTTAGGGTTATGCTAGAATGGGACTGTAACGTTCCGGCTGTCCATTTCTGGATGGCGCCTGCATAGCATGCAGTACTATCAGCAAACTGTGTGTGTGACTTTTCAGGTGTGTGACTTTTGTGTATGCTGCATTGTGAAGCTGTGTTACTGTGCCTGTCTAAAACACCTGGTGGTCCTAATAAAGAGCTGAACGGTCAATAAGCAAGGCAGGAGCAAGGATAGGCTGGCAGGCAGAGAATGTAAACAGAATGAGTATAGGAGGAAGGAACAGGAAGGAACACAAGAGGACAAGGAGAGGAGGCCATTGGGCCAGCCACCCAGACAGCCATGGAGTAAGAAGGAAAGTAAGATATACAGAAGTAGGAAAGGAAAAAGTCCAGGGGGAAAAGATAGATGGGACAATATAAGAAAAGCTGGCTATCCGGGTGTTGTTGGCACACACTTTTAGTCCCAGCACTTGGGAGGCAGAGGCAGGTGGATTTCTGTGAGTTGGAGATCAGCCTGGTCTACAGAGCTAGTTCCAAGACAGGCTCCAAAGCAATACAGAGAAACCCTGTCTCAAAAAAAAAAAAAAAAAAAAAAAAAAAAAAGGAAAGAAAAAGAAAAGCTGGTTAGAAACAAACAATAAGATTCCATTTGTGATTTAGGTGGTAGGCCCCTCAAAAATATCAAAGAGCTAAAGAGTAAAACATAAAGCAACAGTAAACCAATCCCTAGCCTTTTCTTCCTCAGCCAACTGATCATCTCCATGAGGCCATACATACGTTTGTAAATGGAAGGCCTTGTAACAGAAGTAGAAACCACAGGCATTTGGGCAAGTTCTTCATGTAACTTGCTTGTGTCTTCAGGACCAGCTTGGGCCCAATCACATCTATACCACTTTCATTTGATATTGGGTTGCTGTTGTGTGTGTCCTATTTGATGACTTTGTGAGTCTGATAATAGCCAGCTCATAATGGGTATGGCTCAGTTTGCATGGTAACTTGGTGGCCCATTGTTTATTCGGGAGTCATTTTGAGTGACCATGGCCCAGGAACACATATTCAGGGTACTCCAAAGACTGTGTTTCCACATGGAAATGGTTTCATAAAGTTTTTAGAGTTTTACAGAACAAAGAAAGTTTAAAAAATCAGGGCAAGTTTGAAATACATTGGATGGTACACCAGAGAGGCAGTTACAGAGAGATGGGGGAAGCTTTTCTATTGTCCTAAAATGCCATCTGATGACATTCTTAGATTCTTTTGGTTTTAGATTTTTTGTTGTTTTATTTGGTTTTGAGACAGGGTCTCCCTACATAGCCCTGCCTGTCTTGGAACTCACTATGTAGATGAGGCTGGTCTTGAACTCATAGATATCTGCCTGCCTTTGCCACCAGATTCTGGAATGAAAGGTATGTGTCAGCTTGCCTGGCAACATTCTTAGCTTTTGGGTTAGAGAAAGCCAGTAGCCTGCTAAGTCAATAGATTCCAACAGTTTTTATCTACTAGTCACAGGATGTTAGTTCTGACACAAAGGTGGGTGAGAAATGGCTGTTCTGGGAGCCAATGCTAGCCCAAGATAAGGTAATTAGCATCTGGACCTTCCAACCTCTCCTCACCACTGCAGTTTTCAGTCTTACAGACACAGATTCTTTCTCCAATAGCACATGAAATGATTATAACAAACCACCATTTCGTTTCCAGTAAGATGACTACAATCCTGAAAATATTAAATGTTTGGAAAGGTGGGGAGGAACCAGAACCCTCATACCTTGGCAATGTGAATATAAATGGTGCAGCTTTTTTCAAAAACAGTTTGGAGCCGTCTCAAATTATTGAACATAGTTTCCGTATGATCAAGCAGTCCACTGTGAGGAGGATTCTACATATACAAGAGAATTAAAAACGTGTACACAAAAACGTCGACATCTGCGCCTATTGTCATTAAGCTAAGGCACAGAAATCGTGGAAATGTCCTGATGAACAAATAAGCAAGATGTGATATATGTATAGCACGGCATTAGCCGAGCGTCCCATAGCACACAATTCAGGTCCATGCTACAAATTTTATCAACCTTCCAGCTGGACATGGTGATGCAGACCTGTAATGTCAGTAGTTAGGAGGCTGAAGCGAGATGATCAGTGCTTCAAGACCAGTCTAGGCTATATAAAACCTTACGAAGGGGGGTAGGGGAGGGGAATATCACATTTGCTCCCAAAGGAAAGCTTTATTCTCAAAGCAGACTCCGAACAAAGTCAGAGATGTACATAGCGTTTGAGTCTGTAGAGGCTTGCGGTGATTCAATAAATTGACCGTTTAGCTATTTACAGACAAATGGCTGTTACTGTGGTTTGTGAAAAAACAAAGAGGCTGGGGTCCGCTCTTTCATTCTGAAGCCCAGCCATGGAGCTGCTGATTGGGTTACTGTCAATGATTTAGCTGGCTTTCAGAAGCTGTTGATAACTGGCTGACTTGGAAGCCCCTGAAGAGAGGCTGTTCCTGATTGGTTGATTTTCAGAGACCGAGTTGGTTACCTCTAAACAATGGTTACACATTCACTACTTGGGTCTGGAGGCAAATTTTTATTTTCCTTTCTTGAATATAAAAAGTATAAAAAGTACTTTTATTTCCCTTTTCTTTTGATTTTCTTTCTGTTAAACCTGCAGGAAACACCTTAGGGATTGTTAACATTTTTATGAGCAGGAGTTTTTTTTTTTTTTCCTTTCTTTCTTCATGCAGCACTATTAATGATGATTCAAACACCGATCATTATGGCAGGGAAAAGTGCCGGGTTGTTAAAATTTACTATGACAAGATGCATTTAGAATACGTAGGACATCTTGACAAGGTCAATATGTGGTGCTAGACGTAATCATTAAATACATCCTGTGGCTAAAGAACTCCACTTTATGCGGGAAGGGACTGTGGCTCTGTGAGACTTTCTGGCCCACTGACCACAGCTGGAAACAATTCTAATTAGGATCTGCACTGCAAAAGGAGGGGTCTCCTGGGGTACGGTGAGCCTCTGATGCCGGTGCCCTGAACAGAACGCATCTCTAAGGGATCAAATGTTTCAAGGGTGGTGTGCAACTGACGAGAAGCAGGCAACTGCAGACAGGCAGCTAGTTGTCCAGGAGAACCAGGGATAAAAAGCCAGGTACAGAACTGAAGTACCCCAGCACGGACTGGCCAGAAGGGGCGGAGCTGGCCCGAGTCCCCGCCCCGGGCGCGTCCACGAGTATGGCTGCGGTGCCCAGAGTCCCCGAGGCGCTGCGAGACCTTAGGGCCCGTGGGTGTGTTGCCCGTGAACCGGCGCCCCGAATCGGCTTGTCCCCGTAACAGAACGGTCTAGCGCTCGGCCCCACGCTCACTGACGCCCCGGCTACGCGCGCCCCGCCCCGCCCCCACGTGCCCGCGCGCGCCTGCCCCGCCCCCTCGGCGCGCCCTCGCTCCGCCCTGCCGCTGGCCCGCTGCGGTGCCGGCGCCAGCGACCCTCCGCGCCCGGTGGTCCTCCGCCGCCTGCCTCCATGGACGCGTTCGCCCCACAGCAGCCGGGGCTGCCCCGCGCGCGCTTCGCTGGCACCTCTGGCCGTGGGGCGGCCTCCGTCAGGTACGCCGGGTCGAGGCTGCCGAGGGTGGCCGGGGATGCGCCGTGGGGCGGCTACGCCTCGGGTGGCAGGGCGTGGTCTGATATGGCTTCCTTGCGGAGGATTGTTTGAAACGGCTCTCCGAAGAACGTTTGCTGGAGCACGGCGACCTTCCGGAGGGACCGTGCTGTGACTATAGCTCGACCACCCGCCGCGGTTCCCAGAAGACCCCATTGTGACATTCCCACCCCAGGCCCTGTCTTCACGCGAGTGCGCCCCAGGAACTCCGCCGCACGAACCCCAACTCTCCTAGGTGTTCAGAGCCTTTGCCACAGACCGCAGCTCGGTTGTAGAGTTCCCGGTCCCCTGCATGCACATTGGCAGCATCTCCTCTCACCTGTCCCTGGCCATTGCATCCGACGCCCCCTCCACCCTGGGGAGCGCCCGATGCGGGGACGTGAAGGTCATTGGGGGCGCAGGAGGAAAAATGAAACTGTGGATAGGGAAAGAGGCCCGGATCCCCCCCCCCCACTCCTCTCCCCCACACATACACACAAAAGCGGCTGACACCAGGTCCATGATAGAATCCAGGAGTGTCGGTGTACGGGGAGCGGGGTTGATGTTAGGGAGGGCTGTCCTGCCCTTTTCTGTACATAAGATCTGTTTCTGTTCTCTGTCTTTGGGGCTGACCTTGATAGTCAGGGCAATTGTGACCGAGCTGGTATGGGGCTGCCAATGAAAAGAGGTTAGTGTGATGGAGGTGTTGCAGTAGGAAGAAATAAGGGAAGGGCGAGTCTTCTGAGGTTTGGACACTGCTAACCTGTCATTAAACTAAAAGAGGCTTTTTTGTTTGTTTGCTTACTTGCAGCCATTTGGCAAAACAAATGTGTTATTGTTCCCTTGGAAGGGGGTTGTCAACTAATATGTTAAAATGGCTTTTCCTGTTTTTGTTTTTGAGGCAGGTCCTCACTCTGTAGACCAGGCTGGCCTTAAACTCAAAGGGACCCACCTGATTCCTAAATGCTGACATTAAAGGCTTGTGCCACCATGCTTGGCCTGCTTTTTCTATGTTCCTGTTTGGGTATTTTAATGTTCTGTGTGTATGTGTTTCCCTCCATTGTTGAGGTCAAATCCCAGGGCATTGCACATGTTAGACAAGTACTATATCATATCCAGCCTTGTTTTCTATAGAGTTTTGTTGTTATTTATTTATTTATTTATTTACTTAGGGTGTGTTGTTTGATTTAATTGGCTCAAATCTATGAAGAGTAAAAAAACTATTTTAGGGGCTTAGCAGTTGGGAGCACTGGGTTCAATTCCCAGGACCCACATGACACCTCACAACTATCTGACATCACACAAACATGCATACAGGTGAAGCAGCTGTACATATAAAATAAAATATATCAATTATAGCCGAGTGGTGGTTGTGTACACCTTTAGTCCTAGCACTTGGGAGGCAGAGGCAGTCAGATCTCTTTGAGGTAGAGGCCAACCTGGTCTACAGAGTGAATTCCAGGACAGGCTCCCAAAGCTACATAAACACTGTCTCAAAAAACAAACCAACAAATGTATTTATTTGTTTATTTTTATTTTCTAGACAGAGTCTCACTATGTAGACCTGGCTGGTCTGTGTTGGGATTAAAGATACGAGCGACCTTGCCTGACTTTTTGATTTTTAAATTACATGTATTTATTTATTTATTGTGTGTCTGTCAGACTGTGTGTGTATGCCATAGAGTATGACGGCCAAAGGACAACTTGCCTGGAGTCCTTTCTCCACTCTCTCTTATGTGGGTCACAGGATTGGACTCAGTCAGGCTTGGCAGCAAGTGCCTTTACACAAGGAGCCATTCTGCAAGCCCCAAAACTAATTCTCCTCTTTCATTTCCCAGGATTCCTTCACACGTTCTGGCAGTGTGTTTATTGGGTGACTAAGACAGGAAAGAAGAATGAAGCGATTAGATAGCAATGAAACAATGCATTTTGGATTCTTGGTTTGCTTCTGTTTGACACTGTAAATTTTCTGCCCTCGTAGGAATTCTTTCCAGGCTTTACAGTGTGTAGTGCTTAGCTGCTTGTGGAAGCAGTCTCCACTCTCTCTCAGGGCTTCTGCCAGATGGCATCACTGTTTGAAAGTATTTGAACGTTTTATGGGTATTGAACAGGATGCTTTAGAATTGGGAGCAGCCATTCGATAAATCTAGGCTCTCTGTAGGGGTGTGTACCTGTCCTCAGGTGTTCAAGCGCCACACTTGTTTGGTGCGGTGCTGGAGATGAAACCCAGAGGCTTGTAAATGGCAGCAAAGTGCTCTCCCTCTGAACTGTATCCCCATGACAAGCTCAGTAATCTTTATTTGAACTTTAAAAATGATTACATCTTGGTGGAGCACACCTTTAGTCCCGACACTTGGGGAGTCAGAAGCAGGCAGCTCTCTGTGAGTTCAAGGCCATTCTGATATACAAAGCTATACAGAGAAACCCTGTCTAAAAAAACAAAACAAAACAAAACAAAAATAAACAAAATAACAAAACAAAAAAATTGCATTTTAAAATATTTCGGTTTAGATTTATTCGTAAGTATGAGTATACTGTGTTTGTATGTGGGAATGTGCAGGTGAGTATAGGTGCCCAATGAGTCCAGGTAGGTGTTGGATCCCCTGGAACTGGAGTTAGAAGCAGTTGTAAGTTATCTGACATGGGTGCAGGGACCTGATCTCAGGGCCATCTCTCAGGCCTCACATTTTCATTTGCTTAACCAAAGATATGTGTATGTGCCTGTTTAAGTGTGTCGCGGAGCATTTGTGGCCATCAGAGGACAACTTTTGGGAATTGATTCTTTCCCAATATCATACTGGTCTCGGATCTAGCTCATGCCATCAGTCTTGATGCCAACTCCTTTACCCACTAAGTTCTTTTGCTGGCCCTTGATTTGAATCTTTTTGAGACTTGAGAGTGGAAAAGCAACTTTACCATAAAAATCCACCCCCAGAATAAATGCTAGCCACCTGTTTGCTTATTGATCCTTTTTGCAGTGACAGGCCTCACTATATAGCCCTAGAACTTGCTGTGTGGACTGAGCTAGTGTTGAACTTGGGGTAATTTTCCTGCCTCTGTCTCCAATGCTAAAATTACAAGAATATGTACTATACCTGGCTTATTTACTTTCTTTTAAAAATTTTTTTATTATTTATTATTAGTGTATTTGTTGGGAGGGGGCAGACACACTGGTTTCGTGGTATGTGTGGGGAGGTCGAGGGTGACTTGTTTTCTCCTTGAACTCAGGTCATAAGGCTTGCACATTCAGCACTTTTACCCACCGAGTCATCTCTGCTCTTTACTTTCTTTTGTTTTCTCTTTTTATTTTCCCTTTGGCTTTTTGAGACAGATTCTCACTTAAGTAGCTTGTGATGGCCTGGAACTCCCTAGGTAGACCAGGCTGGCCTTAAACTCAGTGATCCACCTTTCTCTACCTCCTCAGTACTAGGAGCTCTTTACTTTCTTAAAGGTAGTATTTTTATGTTAAGATATATATAGGATTGGGAGTATCCATGCCCTATTCTGATTTCTGCAGGCACTGGTACATGTGGAACATACACTCACACAGGTGAAATGTATAGACATATGCGGTGTATGTGTGTGTGTATGTATGTGTATGTTGGCTGACTTTATTAGTCATACCTGAACTCTGAATTTTGCATAAGATGGCTTGATTGAAACTTGACTTTAGTTAGTGCATGGTTTAACATCAGGCCTTTGCTAAAGAAATTTTGGTGAAGGATCCCTTCATTTTCCACCTCTCTGTGGTTGAACATGCTTTTCTTACCTATCCAAGTTCTTGACTTGTTTTCCCTAATGGTTTTGAATTAAATCTTACTCTGTAGCTTAGGCTGGCTTTGAACTTGGTTGGTCCTCCTGGCTCAGCCTTTGGTATCATGCCTGCCTTTCCCCCTTCACTTTGTCATTTTTGAGGGCAACACCCTCTAGTCAACCACATTTGGTTTCTTTCTTAGAGTTTGGTTTCTTTGTTGTTCTCTCACTCCCGAAAGATGAAAGAAGCAGGCTCAACTAATGAAGTCACATTCCTAGAGATCATAGATGGTGCTTGCAACCACATGGCTTCTGTAAGGGAATCCATTCTCACAGATGAACAATGGAGAGCGGAAGTGAAAATATTGTGCCTCAGAATTAAAGCCCTCTTTCTAAGGTTATAGTCAGATAATTTTGGTTTCTGTCCCTCCAAGCATGTAGAATTAGAGTTTCTTTCCTCTTTCAAATTGGCTTGGAAGTTGTTGTTGGTTCTTGGTTAATGAAATGTGCATAGGAATAACATTGTAGCCCTTCATTAAAAGCTTCACAGTGTAATTTGTTACTCTCTTTCCTTTTGTTGTCTAGGCTGTTACTGTTCCAAAGTCACTCCTCCACCACTCTGGAATCCAGAGTGAGCATTAGAAAGAAGTTAAATATCACTGGGGTTTTGGAATTAAAAAATTATTTTTAAATTTTTTGTTAGATTTTTAAAAAAAAATTATTTTATATGTTAATGTCTTGCCTGCCAAATGTCCATGTTAATGCCCATGCACCATGTGCATGCTTGGTGCCAGCAGAGGTCAAAAGAGGTCATCAGATCCCCTAAAACTTGAGTTGTGAACCACTATATTGGTTCTGAGGATCAAAGTGAAGCCTTCTGCAAGAGCATGGAGTGCTCTTAAATGCTGAGCCATCTCTCCAGCCTGAATAAAAAGTTTTTGGTTTGGGGTGATAGGCTGAGATTAAATTAGGCATGCACCACCTCTCTTCAAAACTTGTTAAAGAAATTGTGTATGTGTGTGTGTGTGTGTGTGTGTGTGAGAGAGAGAGAGAGAGAGAGAGAGAGAGAGAGAGAGAGAGAGAGAGAGAGATGTGCACACACACCACAGGTGTGTGGAGGTCTGAAGAACAGTTTATCTGGAATAAGTTCTCTCCTACCATGTAGATCCGTAGGTCCCTGGGATTAAACTCTGGTCGACAAGGTTTAACAGCA